CACCATCTCCCTGAAGGGACTCGGGACGGCATAGAAAGCACTCCGGGCTGCACATATAACACACAACTGGTATAAACAGCACAAAAGTATAAAACAAGTCACATAAAATTATAACAATGATAACATCAACACATGTTAAAATCAAAACAATACAATTTTAAAACAACAGTAGATAAAGCTAACTGCCGTCAATTCACAGGTGCCAAGTGTCTAAGAGTGACAAACAACTTCCTATATCTAATGGCACAAGACTGCTCCAAACTTCAGAAGGCAGACCCTTCCTTGCTCCAATTTCATGCCCTTTTTCTGAAGAACTGGGCAGCTAAGCAGTCAACAAATTATTGGGTGAGTGATGCATTTATATCATTCAATGATCCAACAGAGACTGTAATAAACCTCGCTGGGCAGGAGTCTGCAATTCTATAGAAGACTGCAATTCAGACACCTCCCCATTAAAGCTTAGCCTGGTATAGACATTTTATGTGTAGTATGTGGTCAAAACAAGTGATGCCTTGCCATACTTCATTATTTTACCATGAACCACAGACATAATTTATAGGTTCTTCAAATTTAGATTCCAAACACTTCTTCATAACAGTATGTCAGTCAGCTAATTATGGTTGTGGTAAGGTAGCTGTACAAAACAAAACCCAGCAATGTCAAAACATAATCACGTCTACGTATTATTGTCTTGTATGTGTGTTATTCATTCTAAAAGGATATATATTGTGAGAGATATTTTCTAACAACTGTAAGAGGAAACCATAGGAGAACCATATTCTTAAAACGCCATATAATTTAGAGTGGCTCTCAGATTTGTGACCCATCATTTTCGGGATGGTTTTTCTTGTAATGTTTTTCTTACATTTTGTACTAATTGTACAAGTGAGACAACTACTCTAGTATTTTCTCGTTAGTGATTTCAAAATGCATTATTTGTAACTCGACTTGCTGACTTTTTGTGTTGTAGTTTTCATGTGGGAGATAAACTAACACAGCTGTGCCTGTTTAAACAGAAGCCAATCCAAAGCCGCTGTATTTCCTGGGAACACAAATTAATCAGTATCTAGAGCTATTTAAACCCATTCTTGAGCACTTTCTGCATCCTGGCCAAAAACTAGATATTCTCTAATCCTAATTCTAATGACAGAAAAGTTGAAATCTAAAAAAAACAAAAAAAAAACAAAAAAAAACCCCAAGACATATGGTTTGCAAATAACCAATGCCAGGGCCTTGTCCATAATGGCAGTTTTTTCTTCAGGCATATTTCTCTGGCATGGACATTGTTATTTCCACACATGTTTAAACTGCCATGATCCATGAAGCCACTATTTGATGGCAAATGAGACAGATTTGCTTCTTACTGCAAGTGCTCTAGTGTCCTTGTGGTTGATGGTGTTGTGTGCCTTCCAGCTTTTGGTGAACCCAAGGTGAACATATCAGAAGGTTATAGTCCAATTCTGAAACCACTACATGACACTGGCTCTTCTAGCGGAATTACTGAACCATGAACTGGATTCTTTTAGAATATTTTTAGTGTGTATTTATTTTAAATTATTTGTAAACTGGCTTGAAAATAAGCCTTGGAAGAAAAGTGGGTTTAGTATTTCAAATAAACCATCAAATAAGGAAGGAAGGAAGGAAGTGGGGAAGAGTGCTTTAAACAGCTCTGTGAAAAAGACATTCAATAGCAGACAAGAACAAAAGGAAAGACTAATCCTTGCATTGATTCAAGCTGAAACTGTTATCCAAGCAATTGTTCTTTTGCTGACCAAGGTTACCAATTGGAAATTCCAGTCATGCGTTTAGAAAATAACATGCAAGGTATAATTTAATGCAGTCCAATGATGCAATTTATATAAACAATCATACAACAGCAAGGGCAGGAAAAGTATGATTCCATCCTTCCCCATGTGAGCCATATAGAAACAACAAGAGAAATGCCATACCATTATATGACACCTCCAGAACAGACAGTCTACATGATCTATGAAAGTTAGCTACCTATTCAGAAGTGACAATCAAAACATCTCCTATAACCCCTGACAAGCAGATTTACAATGTGAAGGAAATTATGCCTACACAGACCATCTTAAAGGAAATTGGGTAAGTGTTCATCCATCTGAAAAAAACCAACCCTTGTAGACTTTTTGGTAGAAGAAGAATCTGGTTTCAAGGCCCAAGATTCCGACTATACAACAATCAATAAAATAAAATCATTATTCTCTCTGGCAAAAAACTTACATATGACTTCAGAATATGTAAGCATTATTTTAGAATTTTCTGGCTTTCTATACCAAATGTATGCTGCTATACCTCTTGATCTAAGTTACAAAAGAACAATAACAATTACAATTAAAAAGTTACAAAATAAAAATTAAAAATTTCTTATTCTTCCCTCACGAATAATTTTGAGCTTGTTTTTGTTAATTTTTTATTATTCTATGTTAATGTGGTTATATTTAATTATGCTCTATAATTTCAGTTGTTCTGCTTTCAAGTTTAACTACATTTTGAAGCCTACAATCCTATATATTTTTATGGTCTATTTAATAGATAAAGTAAATGAAATTTAAAGTCAGGTTCCTTGTATTCAAGAACAATCTTCATACATTGATCCCAAAACCAATCATGTTTCTATTTTTTATCAGTAACTTCCTTTTGTTATACATGTCCGTGCTATGATTTTGTTAGTGTGTACCAATAAAAGCTGCTGTTGTTGTTGGAATCCACCATGTATTAAGGCTGTCAAAATCAACATTGTTTCCTCCATTCATGTGAAAAAACTGGCCTATATTTCAAATAAATTTGTTATGTACAGAAGTAAACAGAAGAAATAAATAATAGTAATATTATATATTAGAGTGATAGTACAATCATAAGTCATAAATAAGAACAAAATGAATAGAATACAGGGGTTTTTTTTACATGTCAGGAGCGACTTGAGAAACTGCTTCTGGTGTGAGAGAACTGGCTATCTGCAAGGATGCTGCCCAGGGGATACCTAAATGTTTTACCATCCTGTGGGAAGTTTATTTCATGTCCCCGCATGGGAAGCTGGAACTGACAGGTGGGAGCTCACCCCACTCCCTAAATTTGAACCGCTGACTTTTCGGTCAGCAGTCTTGCCAGCACACAGGTTTAACCCACTGCGCCACTGGGGGCTACAAAAAATAAATAAAACAAAAAAATCTCTCTTTATACAGAATCCAAAGGACTCGTTTTGGTTACGGCTTCTCAAAAGCAATTTTACTTCTTTCCTTTTATTGCCTTTGTCCTCAGTCAGCTACATACCCTTTCTCTACAATATCCTTGAGCAGAAGTGTAGACACTGTGACTGTAATAGCATTATTTCTCTTTCCCTGCAAAACTTTGTTTAAACCATCTTTTACTGGTAAAGAAACCAGTGAGCTTTGAAAATCAGCATGATATATTTGTACCTTTTGGTTGACCGAACTGAGCTTCTCAATACAATATCGACTTTATATTCTGCATAAGCTAGCCTTATAAACTTCTTTAATCTACTAACCAAGATGTAAAGACACCAATCAAAAAGCCTTCTGTAGCTAAAAAGACAAATGCTCCGTATACTAATTATCTCTTTGCTTATTACAGTGAGATTGTAGATATATGGAAAACATTTGATTTCTACAAGCCTCTTCACCAACCCGTTTTCTTTTGGGGAAAGGGCTTATATAAACGATTCCCCTACACACACACACACACACACACACACACACACACACACATCTTATTTATTTGACTTGAATACCGCCACTCCCAATTTGGCTCGGAGCGGTTTACAGCAGAAGATTAAAACAATACAACCAACTATAAAATACAATAAAAACGAGAACAGACATAGTCCCGAGTTATTCACCCATAGAAATTTTGTTGGAAAAGAAAGGCTTTACAGGCTTTCCGAAAAGCAAGTATCTCTCGCATGGTTCGGGTTTCAACTGGCAAGGCATTCTATAAATAAGGGGCCACAATCGAGAAGGCTCTCTGCCTAGTAGAGGACAGATGATAAGTCCGGATGTTGGGGACTTCAAGCAAATTTTGGTCTTCGGACTGAAGTAATCTCTGGAGTTGGTAGGGGGATAAGTGGGCCCTCAGGTACGCCGGCCCCAGACCATATAAGGCCTTAAAGGTTAGTACCAGCACCTTGAAAGTAATCTGGTACTCAATCGGAAGCCAGTGCAGCTGTTGTAAGACAAGCCGCCGCATTTTGCTCCAGCTTCAGTTTCCGGATCACTGACAAAGGAAGGCCAATGTAGAGGGCGTTACAGTAGTCAAGCCTCGAGATGACCGTTGCCTGGATCACCGTAGCCAGGTCGTTCCTAGATAGGAAGGGAGCCAGTCGCCTAGCCTGACGTAGGTGGAAAAACGCAGATCTGCTCACAGCAGACATCTGGGCCTCCATTGTGAGTAGAGGGTCCAATAAGACACCAATGCTTTTTACAGAAGATGACGGACGTAATGTCTCGCCATCCAGGGTAGGCAGCTGGATCTCCCTCCCACCCGGACGGCCCAGCCGAAGGATCTCCGTCTTCTTAATTCTAACAGTGAGATGATAAGATGAAGAGGCAGAAACACCACTGTGTGTATATCAGACTGTTTCTTGGTACTTTAGACATGACTATCATAGCTGCTGTCTTTAGTTCACAAGTAACATAGGTCTGATGGGAAGATATATATCACTTTCTGTTATGGCTTTACAACTATATTCTACCCAGAGAGAGATTTGAATACTGTGATTTCTTTGGTCCTGTTCATTCTAATGAAATAAAAAATTCAAATCCTGAAAGGAACCAGGAGAAAAAGCATGAAGGAATGAAAATTTTCAAATGGAAGAAATACAGTAGAAGTAGGTGTGTATTCATGAGACTCTGTTTCGTTTAATTTTTAATAATATCTGTCATCTTAAATAAACATGTACAATTCCTCCTCAACATGTACTGCATCTGGCAGAGATTCTCAACAGTAACGCGCAGTCTTACCTCTGTCATTCAGACTGTTTCTTATTGCCCATTCGACCTGTTCCTCCTCATTCATCCCGGCAGTATAAGGATTGTAGTCTCTTTGTGCATTTGATGCATAACCTGAATATCTATAATCTGTACAAAGAAAAAAATATTAAAACTAATAAAACAGGGACAAAAGATATATAGAATAACTAACAGGGTCAACACAGTCTTCATTCGAGAGAAAATTATTTCTGTATTATATATGCTTATTTTTTTCTACCAAAACTCCCATACAGCTAGGCTAATAATTTAAGGCAGAAACACCTTCTCCTCTTTAATGCTTTGCTTGTGCTTGCTGGCAATACAAAATCTATTGTCATGATCCTGCTAGGCCCAGTAAGCATGGGGGAAAAAACCATTTCTATCCACTATATTTCACTTTATTTTTAGTATTTTTAAAATGTCTTTTTGTGAAAACCATACACAATATTAAATAATGAAATCAATGAAATGAAATAAAACCATACACCATTAAAAAAAAAGTAAAATAATTCAAAACACTGAACAAAAAAATCCCCAGAGAAAGTGGAGTTCAACTGTAACTATCAGGAGAGTGTATACCACATAATACCCATGAACTTCTCTTATGTGCACTCATCAAATGTCTCTCTGTAAGTGATGACAACATTATCCGAACAGACTTTGCTTAACAACCAGATAAATTCATAACGAAATACAATGTCCCTTAGACCTCAAAACCCTGAATTGTTTAGGGCTTCCGAGGTGAAAACCAACATTCTCAAATGATCTTGGAAGGCATTTAGAAACCTGCACAGATTTTTCAATACTTGAATAATAAAATTCTATCACTATGTACTTCTTAGCAGATTGGCTGTGCACTTTTCACATACATACAATACATTATACCATTAGCACAGTACAATATCAGCACTATACATCACTATTTTGTACGATACATTTATATTGTAACATTATTAGTAATGTTACATGTAATATAAAATATATAATTATAATATCATATTATTATTATTATATATTATATTATACTAAATATTATATTATATTATATTATATTATATTATATTATATTATATTATATTATATTATATATTAACACAGCACAGGAGACAAGGTGGAACTGTCCCCGGGCCTCCCCTGTCTTCACTCTGGCTCAGAGTGGCGGTTGGTGCTGGTGGGTGGGGTCTCCAACTGATGACATAGGCAGGAGACAAGCTGGAACTGTCCCCTGGCCTCCCTTGTCCTCACTCTGACCCAGAGCAGTGGTTGGTGCTGGAGGGAGGGGTTTCCAACTGATGACATATGCAGGAGACAAGGTGGAACTGTCCCCTGGCCTCCCTTGTCCTCACTCTGACCCAGAACGGTGGTTGGTGCTGGGGGGAGGGGTTTCCAATTGATGACATATGCAGGGGACAAGGTGGAACTGTCCCCTGGCCTCCCTTGTCCTCACTCTGGCCCAGAGCGGTGGTTGGTGCTGGGGGGAGGGGTCTCCAACTGATGACATATGCAGGGGACAAGGTGGAACTGTCCCCTGGCCTCCCTTGTCCTCACTCTGGCCCAGAGCGGTGGTTGGTGCTGGGGGGAGGGGTCTCCAACTGATGACATATGCAGGGGACAAGGTGGAACTGTCCCCTGGCCTCCCTTGTCCACACTCTGGCCCAGAGCGGTGGCTGGTGCTGGGGGGAGGGGTCTCAAACTGATGACATATGCAGGGGACAAGGTGGAACTGTCCCCTGGCCTCCCTTGTCCTCACTCTGTCATATAACTAGTGAATGAAGCACAGGTTATAAACATCAGTATGAGAAAGAAAAAGTATGCACATCATGATGTTGAGTACCATATTCTTACCACTGAGAGAATGTCAATGAGACTTAACATCTGGTAATAGAATACTGCATGGATTGGCCGTCAGCAATTTCTCAAATATTTGCTTTGCTTCACTGCAAGAATTTCTTACACTGTAAATGTAGAAAGTCCTTCTAACAGATAATATACAGCACTATCCTATGCATTGTTACTGTTGACATTGCAAAAAAAAACATATGAAATTTTGAAACTTAAGATACTTACCTGGATTGTTGTTGTTTCTTTGTCGTGAAAAGAGAGTTGGAAATATAAATCCACCTAGCAAGAGTAATACAGTCAATATAGACAAATCTTCACATCATATTGCCTGTTTTAAAATGAGTTAACATAATCTATTTAGAATTGGTGTGGACAAAAAGTGTCTTGTTCTGGTTCCTGCACGCTGGCAGGGTCTCTTAGATTTCGTCTCAAATCCCAATACTATTTGTCCACAAAATAAACCATCAGATGATTGCTTTTGTATATAGTTTTTAACCAAGTCCTGTTTTGTAGGAGTTTGGGAGACAAATCCAAAAAGCTAGGGGAGGGCAAATGTACATGATCCCAAGAACTTCACAACACTAAGTAAAGGATAAAAGGATGAAAAAAATGGTTTAAAATGCTCCTCAGGAATTGTTTCCAAAGCTTGTGTGTATGTATGTGTTCTTTCTTTAAAACACTGTAAAATATGTTTTAATTCATTTGGCAATTTACTGCCTTCAATTAAAACAACTGAAAGGAGTGTTTCGTAAGTCACACTGCTTCAGAGAGGCATAACTGTTTCTTGTGTTATTTGAATTCAGTACATGTGCTATTCTCTGCTTTTCCCAGATGTATAGCATGCAAAAGTATTTTCCCTACAATGTGGATCACAAGAATCAAGAGTGAGAAACACATCCACAACATGGATTTCACACCTCCCAAGGCCATAAGAGATCTCCCAAAGCCCTGGTCCTCCAAAGGTTCATTTTAAAAAGGATTTGAAAATACCCAAATTACCACAAAAATGAATCCAAAACTGGAGGTGATACCACATTAACTACTTCATCACACTAGTGAATGAATCCACTTTAAATCCAGTTTCTGCCTCCTGCAGAATTCTGGAGTTTGTAGTTTAGTGAGGCTGTTAAAGGCTCCTCCCTAAACTACAAACCCCTGAATTCTACAGGAGGCAGCAACCAGATTTAAAGTGGATTCATTCTCTAGTGTGATGAGGAAGTCCAGTTTGTTTGAAATGCATGCATGAGGCCTGCTGTGGGAGGAAACACAACTAAGCTGCACCCCTCTCCCAAAACACATGCATACACAAAAAGGTGCCTACAACTACTACACATCACATAAGGACATTTTAGCTGTTTTCTAAAGGCAAAGTCATTACCTTTTCAATAGTGGAAAAGGGACATGACAAAACTTGTAATGATACATCTTTGGGCGAAAGTATGATAGCTGGGACCCTATGAACCCTAAGCTAGTTGCGCAGCGCGTGTCAAAATTAATGAAGGGAAGTCTGCTTGGACTATTCCCAGCTGCTGGGGCTGCTTTCTTTGAAGGGCGGAAAGTGTGCTGACAGCTGGGGAAGGTTTTACAAGGCCCTAGTGTGAACAGAGTGGCAGGAACCAAATCCACCCCCCTTCCCCTCTTCTCCCACTTTCCCCCACCCGCTTTCTAACAGTGAAGGAGCTGGGGGTCCAGGAGGGCAGGGCGGGTGAGTGGAAAAACCCCTCCTCCTCCCTCCCTCACAGCTGCGTCTCTCACTCCCTGCGCTGTCTTGCGCATGTCTTCCCTTCATGAATTCTGATCTGCAGTGTGCAAGCAGCGTAGGGTCCCAGCTATCATACTTTTGCCATTAAAGAGTTTGTTGGTGCTTCAAGTGAACAGGACACAGGTGGTCAGCTATACAGAGGGAAGAAACCAATTTTTGCCTATATGACTGATGGGGAAGGCCATAGGGGCTGCAACTGTAACACACTGAAAGTGATAGCATGTTACTTCTAGAGCTTGTTTTAGTTGCTTCAGGCCAATTTCAAAGGTTTTTGTAGGGTTCTAGATAACAAAAAAAACACATAGCTGTATATCTAGTTTGTTTCAATATATTTTGGAAATTTATCTGAGAAATAAAAACCAGAAAATTGCTTAAAACATAAAAGAAACCAAAAAGGAAGTATTTGAGCTACCAAGTGGCACTTAAGGCTGCTCTATGTACCCAGAGACTGTAGTATCACTTCTACACAGAAATATAAAGATTAAGACCTACTGGATGGAAACACTACATAAATGTGACTTGCAAGTTATTTTTATCCTTTAATGTTTTTAAAATTTATATAACTCATCAGTTACAAACAACAATACTCCAGTCAGACTAAAGAGGGAAGGGAAATGAAAAGACCAGGAGAAGAACTAATTAAATATCCTATAGATAGTGGCTTAAATGTTATTAAATATATGCAACTATGGATAATTCACATTCAGTTCAAAATGCATGGAAATTTGTCCTATACCTGCACATGCTTTCATGATAGTCTTCAGCGGTCCCATGGTATACATTAGTCCAACAAGAATCCCTGCCAAATGGCCAGCAAAAGAACTCCTAAAAGTAAGCATTTTTGTGAGATGTCATATTGTCTCTAATTAAGATACATTGTATAGCATTATTATAACACAGACCAATTTGCCACATTTTGCAGCTTTAGCTCCATTTAATGCATTCTAAATTGTAGAGTTTAATACAACTAACAGAACAATAACAGTATTTCAATGTTCAATAGTGATCTAGAGCAATGATGTCAAACTCATTTTCACATCAGCCTTATGGTTACCTTCAAAGGGACATTTGTCATTGTGGGACTGTATAAATGTAACTACTCCTTAATATATTGCTAAATAATCTGAGGTACCATATCACACACCATCCTCATCCACCGATCATGTTGCTGAAAGTAATAAACACAAAACAAAATGCAAACACCATTTTTGTGTATTCGAATCTGAGGTATAGACACACTGACCATGTTTTCAGTGTGTCTGTGCCTTGCCAGAGATATAAAATTATAGGGGGGAGGGGGAATTCGACTTGTAGGCCTTGAGTTTGACATGTGCAATCTACGGAAAATACAGCTTTTGATCCCATGGGGCTCCTGAGACTTATTCGGTCATATTTGCATAGATTCATTTTCTAAATACAATTCATAAACAGCATCAGAAAAAAGATGGACATACAGCTCTCCATCCATTTTTATAATAATTTCAATGACAACTAACACACAACAGGGTGCTGACAGCATCCAAAGGTTCATGTGACTTTTTAGAATTTCCTACATTCAGATAAAGTGCCCAGACGCACTGGAAAATTCTGGTACCACTGATGTTGCAGTTTCAGCATTCCAAATACTAACTGGGGAGGAAGAGATGCTTCACAAAAAAGCCTCCCTCCGAAGCAATTTATTGTTTGTAAAGCTCACCGTTACTCTCTCTGGCAACTGAGGTTAAAATTGATATAGATATACTCTTCCCATTTTGTGCCCAATTATAATTGAAGTGAGGCACATGTGTGTATGTACCTTCAAGTCACCTGTTGACCTATGGTAGCACCAAGAATTTCATATGGTTTTCTTAGGCAAGAATCCCCAGAAGTGTTTTGCCAGTTTTTCCCCCTCTGAAATATAGCCTTCAGCACCTGGTATGCATTGGTAGTCTCCCATTCAAATATTAATCAAGGTTGGTCCTCCTTAGCTTTCAAGATCAGACAGGATCTGATGCACTTAGGGCATTTAAGTTTAGCACAGACACAACTGAAATTTACAGCTTTAACAGATATTCTTTCTTACTTTCTGTTCTTTGCAAACTTCTGTTCTGAACATCAGCTGTGAAAACAGCCTGAGTCAAGGTGGAACAGATGTCAAGTGAAGAAAAAACACCTTCTTAAAATTGGCAGTAGTTTTTTCTGCTCAGCTAAAATTGTCCCAGCTTTCAGACCATCGTGTTCATTTGTTTCTTCATTTTTTTCTTTATCTACTTGCTAAGGGATAGAGTGACAGAAGATAAATTCTCTGTAGAGCGTTCTCTGGGAATTTCTCATCATGTGAAATTTTGACTAAATCATTGTTGTATTCCCTTTCTATGAAGACATGAATAAAGTCTTCATAGAAAGGGAATACAACTTCCTCTTTTACCTCCTTTTAAAGTGTTCTTAAAAGGAGGTAAAAGAAGAATCCCAGTGAATGATAAGAGATATTTGGGGGGGGGGGGACGAGGGACCCAGCAGATACAATTAAATGTACCATATATGTTCTATATCACTGATTTTAGACAGTAGGCTGCATATTAAATATAACAGAGGAAATATTACTTTATAGTTGGTTTTCCGCATTTGTGGGTTTGACTTTTGTGGATCTGAATATTCACATTGTTTTCTCATGGAAGTTTTAGGTCCTCTAAGAAGTTGATCACAGAATTGCATTAGAGGACCTAGAGATTCTTAGGGAGGTGTTATCTCAAGTTTTTTCCTCTGCACTTTTGTGAGGGTTCCGCACCCTTAATCCCACTAAATGTGGAGAGCTAGCTGTATTTCAATGCGAATGAGACTGAATCACCCAATCCCACAACAAACAATTTTTGATTAATACTGTTCTGTGCACAACATTCAATTGTTTGCTTGCTTATTTATTTATTTATTTATTGAAAACATTTATATTCCGTCCTCACCCTGCAGGGGACTCAGGGTGGAGCACAATATATAAACGGCAAACATTCAATGCACAAACATTAAAATCACTTCTATCAACTTTAAAATCAACTGTTTAAAACAATCTTTCCAAAAGCATGTATTCTCATTTCCCGTTATTTTATAATAAACCTGAAGTGCTGAATAAAAATTATCAGCCAAAACAGAATGCAAAAAGCTGTCTTTTTTGCATTGTTCTGGGTACGTATCCACCCTGAGTCTCCTTGGAGAGACTGGGTGAAATATAAATAAATAATAATAATTATTATGTATGAACTTCATTCAAAACTATCCGTCTGGAAAGGCAAACATCTCCCAGAAAACACCTATTTCCTCCAAATATTTTATAGCTATAAAATTAATTAAAACATTCCAGTGCTTCAATATTCAACAATCGCAACTTTTACTAAAATGCATGACTTATATGCAGAACCGCATAATAAGGCTGCATTTACTTTATTCAAGTGACAGTGCTATTACCACTTGATATTCTGAGTATGTGAGACTATTACAGCAGTTGTCATGGAATCAACTACCATAAGATTACTTCAGCTTATCCCCTTATATTACTACCCACCAATGACAAGCATTGTTCTTTGAATGATTTCAAGTAGCTGTAGGTCACAGAAATTCCCAAGGAAACAAAGGTGACTTTAGTCAGTAAAGAAGACTGTTTTCATCAGGCACAATTTAAAATGCTGGTTATAGCCCTATACAGCTCAGGTCCAGACTATTTGGCAAACTGAATCTCCCTGTATCAGGATGTCCAGTCCCTGAAACCATCAGGAAGCCCACCTTCTCTCAGTCACAGCACCATCACAAGCAAAATTGGTGGAGATTCAAAAAGAAGGTCTTCTTGGTGGGTGACCCTAGATGCGGAAATTCCCTTCCCAGGGAGACCAAAATTAACCCCCTTCTCTCTCTCTTTCCATCAGTAGGCATAGCCCCTTCTATTCCAATAGGGTTTTTAACAAAGTTTAAAAATAATGTGTGGTATTCTATTATTTTAAACTAAGATGTTTCCAATGGGTTTTATCTTTTTTAATTCCTTTTTATTGTTTTAATGATGTTTGAATTGTTTTAATAGTAATTCCATTTTAATGTTCACTTTATGCATGTTTATAATGGTATTGTTCCTTTACATTGTAATATGCATTTGGTCTCAATTTTGGGAGAAAAACAAGCTATTACTACCACCACCAACCGCCATTACTAAAAAAAAACAACCAAATATCTCAATCTTGTTTATGAAAGCTACCTAGATACAAAATTATGCAAAACTTCATGAAAGAATGGAATCCAGTGGGCAACCACCAATAACTTCTTTGTCGTTGGCTAGGATAGGGACACTTGTTAATCTAGCAGCTGAAATCTTGTGGTCACTTATAGAAAATCTGCCAAAAGATGATGGCTTTTCAACAGACCGTGGAATGCTAGTTTTGAAAACTTATTTGTTGATGCTAAATAGAAGACGTTGGAAGATTAATTGGTTGTTGTCACTGGAATTCATAACTAAAACGGCTTCATTAGCTGAACTGAAATAGTTTCGTTAACTACTTAATTCATAACTGGTAACATTTGTTTTCAGAACAAACCTTGGTATATATGAAAGATGGTGACTCTTGCAGCATATTTTAGTATTGGTTCTCTTCTAAACTGCTATATTTGTTGGTATAAAGTTTTCCCAGTATAAAGATCAGTCAGGAAAACAAGAGTAGAGAATTCTTAATTATAAATGTTTTACATGTCTTTGAAAATATGCACAGCACATTTTTGTCTACCACAAAATCACTTTGTTGCAAAGTTTAAATATTAGGTATCTAACAAGTGCTCTGCAGGTATCATACATTAATACTTCTTTGTTTAAATCTATTAATATTGTACAATAAGGTTAAGTAAAGTAGTATTTCCACTTATTCATGCTACTGTCTATCTCTGTTTCACATGACATATAAGAAACATTTGCAGCAAAGGTTCAGGATGAAATTGAAGGAGATGAGAGTCTAGTAAACACATGACAATTAAAGCAGCATAAATTAGCCACTCTGTCACTCTGGAACTTGATGATCATCTGTGGCCAAGACCTAAAACCTCCTGATTCTGACCTCTTTTCACTTGAGAAAAACATGCTTATTAGAAATTGATTATAGCAATTCTACAGCTACCTACCTGGAAGCAAACCTAATTAAATTTACTAGGAGTGATGTCTGAGTAGACACCAGAATGTGTAGGACAGCCTGGGTTACTGCTAATTGAACTGAAGTATGGTACAGGTGGGGAGGAAAATGTGGGTGTGGAAGGGATGGAGAAGCCATGGAGGAAAATAGTAACAAGGCATGAGGAAATAATTTCCCTATGTAAGCAATAAACACACCAATGAAAAGGAAATTGCTTCATGCAGACTACTCTAAATAATAGTATACAACATCACAAAAATAAGTAAGAAGATTCACCACTGCGACAACACTGATATGGGTCAATAGGTGGGGAATGGGACACATTATTTCTAAAGGGCCATGACTGCCTGTAGGCCTTACAGATGAACAAAATATCACACATCCCTACCAAAGCTACTCAATTCTTTCTCTGTAGAAAAGGCCTCACCATTTTTGTACTTCTAAAATCTATAAGACAGTAGGCAGACCAGAACAAACCAGCCAGCAGAGATCCATATCATGTATTTTCTCCAGTTCTAACCAACCCTTGAGGGTCTCCTGTCTTATTGAATCTGGAAGATTCTTAGCTGTCAGGATCTTAACTGGCAACAGAAGTAACATCTGAAACAAAATGAAATCATACTAGGTCACGAGTGATAGCCTATGATGTTTATTTATATCCCACCTTTTCTCTCCACAAAGGAGACTCAGACATGAACTTGACTTACACATGAGCACATAGAGTAGTTAACATTAACTGCCACCTAGTCTAAATTGGGAATTAAAAGGCTTTAACCATTTGAGAAGCATTACTGCCACATCCAGAGCTTCACGCTGTGGACAAACAAATGAATGCAGAACAAACTGAGAACTAAGAATGAGAAATTTATGGAATCAGATATAGTTGAATTCTACTAATTAATGAAATATTTTTCTAGTCTGATCTATTCTACACATATGTGAGTGTGCCCAGTAAAGGAATAAAGAAACTAATACATTTCTACAAGGAAATCATGAAATCCACAGGAGGCCTATGGGCTAGTAGGCCCAACCCTTTCTTTAATGCAGGATCTCCAGTACAGCACCCCCAGCTATCCAGAGATGACCACACCACTTGTGTAGGCAATTGCTTTCACTGTCAACACATTCCTCCTAATGTTCAATTGAAATTGACCCTCCTATAAATTCTTATTTCCCTACTCTGAACTCACTCCCATTTGTTTATATCCCTCTTAAAATTGTCATCAACAATAATCTCAAGACCCTTTTCACGAGTACTGCTGCAGAGCCATGTATTTTCCTATTCTATACTTGTACAATAGGTTCCTAAGGCCTAAACGTAGGATTCTGCACTCTGCTTCAGATTTCCTTTCAATTTGTTGCATAGTGATATATTAAAAACCAGTAAAAGCCAGAAGGAATGCATGCTTCAAGAACTGATAAAATCTATTCATAATTACATACAAAGATATACATGTAGAATAATTTAAGTTGTGGAAGTTTCACAGCACTTACCCTGGGCTCAGTAAGTGAATTGCTATAAGTTCCACCCAACAAGCATATCTGTTGGATACATAAATTCCCATGATGCTGCTGGACCCACCGGGATGGTAATAGTTGTTAAGAACTTTCAAAGCAAATAGCACTCCTAAATCAAAACAAAGCAGAAATATTGCAGAAAGAAAAAATCTCATGCAATATGAAAAACAAACACAAGCATTTGTTATTCTTTGTGTTCTACTATGCTCGATCATCCATCTTTGTTTATCCTCTAAAGAGGAAAAACAAAACAAAACAAATACAAGTTTTGTAATTTTCTGTAAATAGTTTCTGCAAGACTATTTATTTTGGTACTTGTTGACCTCAAAGTGAAAATTCAGCTGTATCTCAATGTTTTTAAAGTATTTCAGTGTTATTTGGTATTCCCCAAATTGAAAAAAAGAACAATTAAAAAATATATAACACAAGAATCTGGCCAGCCTAACCAATTTAAAAGTACATTATAGCAATTAATCTCTCCTGCAACATTTTACAATTGGTTTTCAGACAGGAGACCACTCTCACCAGAATGAACATGCTTAGGCTGCAATTTTATGCATATTCATTTGGAAGTAAATCACATTTATAAAAGATAGGTATAGGGTTCCATTGTTATAAAGTAGTGAATATTATTAGCAATAAAGAAAACCCACAATCCCATCATTTAAGATAAAGAAATGCAAACACATCCAATTGGGTTGCTGTGAGTTTTCCGGGCTGTATGGCCATGTTTCAAAAGCATTCTCTCTTGATGTTTCGCCCACATCTATGGCAGGCATCCTCAGAGGTTGTGAGGCCTGCTGGAAACTAGACAGGTAAGGTTTATATATTATATCTGTGGAATGTCCAGGGTGGGGAAAGAACTCTTGTCTGTTTGAGGCAAGTGAGAATGTTGCAGTTGGCTACCTTGATTAGCATTGAATAGCCTTGCAACATTCACGCTTGCCTCAAGCAGACAAGAGTACTTTCAATAAATTTTCATTATTATTAAATAAAGCTAATAAACAGTGATAATCAGTTGGTACAATTGTCTGATAAGTCACTTTGGGCCCCTAACCCTAAACAGAACACATTTGTTCAACATTTTTGGGCTTCTCAGGAATACAAATGATGCAAATATATGGTCTCTTTCTAGTTAGCCAAGATAGTGCAGCCAGTAAGTCATCTTTCATTTTTCCACTTAAAAATAAGATCGTTCTAAGGAAAAATCAAGTTAGGTGTGTTCTTCTTAATTACTATTCTATAAATTATTCTATGTATTTTGGAAGGTACAATAAATCAGCTTAACTGTGGTTGACAGACCACCTTCAAATTACTACTTCAAATGAGAGATTAAGGGAGCTGTAATCAAAATTTCTGGAGGGCAGCAAGTTGCCTACCGCTAAATTAACCCAATGAGACTTGGTTTAGCAGGTACATACATGACTAGAAAACCAACAGAAAAAGATAGGAGAAAAGAAATTACAGTTATTAAGGCCAATGGGAAGGATCTAGCATTTCCTCTAAACACATGTGAGAAAACCTAAGGGGAAGAAAACGTTTTAATTTTTTTAAGAAGAATACAAACAGGAGTTTAGAAAAAGTCTAATTTCTTGATGTTGCATTTCTGCAATTATGCATTTGAGTATTAGGGATAATTTTATCAAGATCTGTTTCTGGGATGTCCTTTCTCTGCCATTCTGTTAACTTTTTAGATAGCCCTCTCCATTATAGCCAATTTCTGTGACTGCACTTATCTTTTCATTCTTTATCCCTCCTATTGTATTGCTGCTTTGTCGGGTTTCAAAATGTCCCCAATCTTTGCTAAAATAATTTGAAAAAATGGAAAGTACTAAAGGAGAAATGAATCATGGGATACATATACAAAATAATCCTTGTCAGAAATCTGGAAGGAGGAACTAAGTTACAGTGAGAGAGAAATAGACAACTGGATGAATTTAATTAATAAAATAAACAATTTAAGGATAAAGGAAATGCAACGGAAAATCCAGACAAAATGGTATAGAACTCCTGTGCAATTAGCTCACATAACCAGAACCCCCTCAAAACAATGACGGCACAACTGTGGGAGAACCGGAACATACACTCACATGAGGTGGGATTGTGAAAAAATACAAAAGTTCCATAAATAATTAAGAAGGAAATGGAGGAACAATTAGGGATAAAATTAGATTGGAACAAGACACAATTTTTCCTCCAGAAAATTGAAGGCGAAGAGGGATCTAAAGAATTGGAGGGATTAATAAATTACATGTTAGATGCAATTAAAGCCTCAGACACTTTTGGCTGGAAGGACTAAAAGAAATGAGACACAGAAACATGGTATAAATATTTAGCGGACTACCTCCTCCAAGACTACATCAGCAAAAGGAAAAGTTACTACAGGGGCAAAATGAAAAGGCTTAATTTACAGAATAAAGGGAAAAGATAAATATAAGGAATTAAACAAGATTATCCTAATAACTGAACAATCGTAATAAGTACAGAAAAATTTGTAAACTGGTCCTGGGGAGGGAGAAATTATGTAAACATGTGTTACTAATAGAAAATGTTTTGAATGTTTGTATAATTTTGTATAGCACTATTCACAAAAAGTTTGAAAAATAAAAAATTGGAAAAAGAGTATTAGGGATAATAAGAGCCTTGCATGTTTCTTTGATCTCGAAATATTCTAAGAATGGGCAAGTTTTTTGAATCTGCTTCTTCTTATAATCCTTGGTGGTGATGTACAATACCATGCACTCCAGAGCAGCTCTGGCAATACTAAAATTTGAAGGAAGGGGGAAAAGCCAGAACAATGCTGAAAGCCCCTAGAAAAGAATGCAGAAAAAGGAAAGTGAATGAACATAGGAGGTAGGAAAGAGAAAGCACAACTAACTGCAGGTAGAAAGCTAAAGCATATCAAAGTTTTTATTAGTTACTAGCCATCCCCTGCCACATATTGCTGTGGCCCAGTCTGCATATATGTGTTTTGTGTGTGTATATATTTGTGTATATGTGTATATATGTGGTTTTGCACATGCGTTGTAATGCATTTTTTATTTTTTACTTTTTAAGTCTCTTCTGCTGTGTTTTTCAATGTTTTTATGAGTGATGGTCACTTGTTGGCCTAATAGGTGTATTGTGTCCAAATTTGGTGTCAATTTGCCCAGTGGTTTTTGAGTTATGTTAATCCCACAAACGAACACTACATTTTTATTTATACAGATTTAAAAATATTAACATGCTGCTAGTGGTAGTGCTGTTTTATTAAAGGGTTCTTTTTCTTGACAATTCAAAACCTTATTTTGGGCAGCATAAAATAAGCTTGTGACCTGCAAACAGAGAGACGTTGTTAGATCCCTAGTGCTTCCATATAAGGAAGCTACCCGTGGGTAATTTAATGTTTATTGTTTAGCAAATTAGATCCCTAGTTCTAGATCCCTAGTTCTAGATCCCTAGTTGTTAGATCCCTAGTTCTTCCATATAAGGAAGCTACCCGTGGGTAATTTAGCAAATGTTCACTGTAGTTTTCTTGCTATAGCTGGCCTGGCTTAAGGAACATTCTAGGACAAAATACAGGTTCTAAGTTTTAAAAACAGCCAACTATTTGAGTTCTTTGGTACCACTATGCTGATATTGTGGTACAAACTGCACATCCTGAATGAGCAGTTGTGAGGACTGAATAATTTTTAAAGGATTAGACTCTTCACAAATATATCTGCCAATCAAGCAGCTAATATCTACTAGTCCACTGTTTCATTATATCCTTTTGTTTCTGGTGATGTCTTTTAATAGAGTTCTGGAAAAGATATTATGACTTCTGCCATTGTAAATATAGTTTTTTAAAAAAGAAAACTGGGTTACACAGTATTCTGTAGTGTCAAACAAGACAATTATATAAAAGTACTTAGACAATTGAAAGTTAAAGTGCTTATTTTATCATCACCTTTAAGAATAAAAAAATAATTCCATCTTCTCAAATGCATATCATCATTTCTTTTCCAAAAGGTAGCATATCCATTATTAAAAATGTGGAAATTCTAAAAGCAAGTCTGAGGATATCTTACCTGAAAAACCAACAGCACAGCTCTGAATGAATAAAGGATTCTCCAGAAGTTCCGCAAGGGTAAATTCCAAAATCATGTATACAATTCCAACTAGCACTGAAAATAATGTGATTATATATCCAAACCATACGCTTCCAAGCCTTCTCTCCAACTTAGTTCCCTTCCAAAGGAGGGAGACCATATTAAAATATAGATGCCAGTCATCTGCATGGTGAAAGGCTGAAAGGTATAGACGATGCCAGTCTCTCCTGTAAAATCCCTCAGAGACACTGATACATACTTCCCCCAGTGGTTTCAGGGGTTGTAAAAAGAGATAAATGTTCACTGCCAAAGTTGCAAATGTAACAGGTGGAATGTTGTTCAGCCCAACTTGATATATCTGACCAAATAATAGAAGTAGTCCAGTATTTAGTCCTCTTTGTGCTTTGTGGTGCCGCTGCATAACTGCTCCTTTTATTCAAATAAACTTGAAAGGGAATACTGCTGAAATCTAGATATAGAATCTGAAAAGAAAAACAAATCGGTAGTTATCTTACCAGTGATATATAAACATTACTTTACTACTTGCAGGTTTTCTTTTATACAAGTCATAGCAAGACAGCTAACATTTTGACAGCTTCTACCTAAATCAGAAGTGAAGATCATGCATCTATCAAGATGTTGTTGGGTCAAGGCAACCCTAGTCAGCGACATTAACTGAAGAATGTTGGCCCTGGATGAGACATTATTTCTATATGTGACCTAAAAAAAAAAAAGAAAAGGAAAAAGGAAATGCTAGCTACAGATTGATAGAAAACAATGTTATAAAACATTTATATGACTTTCTCTCCACCTTCATGAGAAAATAGGGGTGCAGGACCCCTACAGAAGTAAGCAAATGCTATGAAGGCAGGGGCAAGACTTTGGAGTGCTGCTCCAAGTTGGCCTAATGGGTCACAGGGGCTTCACAGATGGGAGGTGGGAGGCAGTGGCAGCAATCATTTACCTCCCCTCTTCTTCAGGCGCTGGGCTGCTGTGTGAATGTGCTTAAAAATATTGATTATGGGTCTACTGCAATGTACTCTACATGAAACACAACTTGGAAAGGATGTGCGTGTGCTTCAAATTGCCTGTGATTTTTGGTGACCCCATAATTCCATAGAATTTTCTTAGGGAATAAATACTCAGTGGTGGTTTTACCAGTTCCTTCATCTGAATTATAGCTTATATTTCTTGGCCATACTTTTATCAAACCAGAGCTCATTCTGTTTAGCTTCCAAAATCATAGTAGCATAGCTAATACGAAATGCAGCAGCTATATTGCTGGCTTGAACACTGGGCATATACTGCAACATTGTTTTTAAACAAGTTGCATTTAGGCCTGTCCGGTTTCGTTCGTTAATTCGTTAATTCGTTATTAATTCGTTATTTTTGGCATTTTTGAAGCGATATCAAAACAGTTTTCCAAACCCGGAAGGGTTTTAAAATATCGAACCGGCAGCCCCCATAGATTTAACGAGCTTCCGCTCGTTTCGTTAATGGGGTGGAGGCTGCTGGAGTGCTGGTGCCTGGGAGCCAATCAGGCGCTCCCAAGCAGTGCACTGTGGGTCCGTGGCTGTTTGTTTTTGATTGGCCGGTGAGCCCTTTCAAAGCGGCTCCGCGCAGCCGTAGCTCATTGCTGCAGAGGGCGAGGGAGTTTGCATTGGTTTGGCTTGGCTAATGGCTACTGCAACTGGATTGGATTCATTCCTTGCTGCTGTGAGTGCTGCTTGCTTCATTTGCTGTCTCCCGCCTGTGTTTGGTCCACATTTGGGCCATTTTTTGGTTAATTTTCCATTTAAAAATATTTTTAATATTATTTTAATATTATTTTTTTTAATATTATTTTAATATTATTCTTTAAAAATATTCTAAAAAAGAAAAGACTCTTCTGTTGGTGTTTTCTCTCATTTGCTGTCTCCTGCCTGTGTTTGGTCAACATTTGGGCCATTTTTTGGTTAATTTTCCATTTTAAAATATTTTTTAATATTATTTTAATATTATTTTTTAATATTATTTTAATATTATTCTTAAAAAATATTCTAAAAAAGAAAAGACTCTTCTGTTGGTGTTTTCTCTCATTTGCTGTCTCCTGCCTGTGTTTGGTCCACATTTGGGCCATTTTTTGGTTAATTTTCCATTTAAAAATATTTTTTAATATTATTTTAATATTATTTTTAATATTATTTTTAATATTATTTTAATATTATTCTTTAAAAATATTCTAAAAAAGAAAAGACTCTTCTGTTGGTGTTTTATCTCATTTGCTGTCTCCTGCCTGTGTTTGGTCAACATTTGGGCCATTTTTTGGTTAATTTTCCATTTTAAAATATTTTTTAATATTATTTTAATATTATTTTTAATATTATTTTAATATTATTCTTAAAAAATATTCTAAAAAAGAAAAGACTCTTCTGTTGGTGTTTTCTCTCATTTGCTGTCTCCTGCCTGTGTTTGGTCAACATTTGGGCCATTTTTTGGTTAATTTTCCATTTTAAAATATTTTTTAATATTATTTTAATATTATTCTTAAAAAATGCAAAAAAATTCTAAAAATTCGTTAATATTTACAAAATTTCGTAAATAACAAAACTTTTTTTTGGAAAGTTTTGTAAATATTTTAAATATCGAAACAAAAAAACACCCCAATTACAAATCGATTTTAGAAACAAATTTTTTCTTGATCAAACAGGCCTAGTTGCATTGGTTGTCAGTATACTTCCTGTAGGAATTCAAGATGCTGGTGGTAAAATGTAAACCATGAAATGATGGATTTCTTCTGCTTTGCACACATACCTGCTAACTAAGGCCCCTTCTACATTGCCATATAAAATCCAGATTATCTGCTTTGAACTGGCAGTGTAGAATCATATAATCCAATTCAAAGCAAATAATGTGTATAAATATGTGAGGGGAAGTCATAGGGAGGAGGGAGCAAGCTTGTTTTCTGTTGCCTGGAGGCTAAGATGTGGAACAATGGCTTCAAACTACAGAAAAAGAGATTACACCTGAACATTAGGAAGAACTTCCTGACTGTGAAACCTGTTCAGCAGTGAAACTCTGCCCCGGAGTGTGGCAGAGGCTCCTTCTTGGAGGCTTTTAAGCAGAGGGTGGATGGCCATCTATCAGGAGTGCTCTGAATGAAATTTTCCTGCTTATTGGCAGGGGGTTGGACTGGATGGGCCACAAAGTCTCTTCCAACTCTATGATTCTGTCTCTGTTGAATATCTGGATTATATAACAGTGTAGAAGAGCCCTAAGGCATGCTAAAGGGGACATCCTTTGTGCTCCACTCATGGAGCACTGGACTATCTGGAACCCAGTTGTGAAATATCCTCTCTTAGAGGCCCAGTGGGAACCAACATTGACTTCATTTTTGTGCCAAGTCAAAAATTGTTTTTTATTAAAGTATTTGAGGTTGAATAGTTCCATCCAGTTTACTCATATACAGAATGAGTCCCCTTACCCAGAAATTCTGTTTAGAAATTATCATATTTTTCATTATATCTGTAGACCATAAATTATCACTTATGGATTCAAATGTTAAACTGTTTTATGTGGAATAAATTAACCATCTTGTACTGTATGATAGGACATGCACATTAAGAGTACCTGGAAAAAAATGAAAGAGACTAAAACTATGGGTGAATGTGTATTTTTTGCCATCCCAAACAAATTAATATGGACATAGTTGTCTGCATTTGGCCTTTAATTTTGAAGATGAAATGTAAACTACCAAGAAAGCAAAGCACCTATTGTGGAACACCTCTCTGGAGTTTTTGGAATGTAATCCATTGTCAACAAAACATTACAAAAAAATTCTTCCTCCAACCTCTGCTGTGTTTATTAAAAGCCTAATGAAGTTTTAGACAATGCATGATTTATTCTGTTTCCTCCAATGGTTTCCAAAACATGTCACAGCTTTCAAAATGTACATACATACAGAAAAACCCTGAAGTGGATGTTTGTCTTTAACTTGAGAATGCCATGGGCCTACATTTTTTTGTCACCTACACAAGATAAATGTCTACATCTACATATTCTAGGAATGTTATTGTCCTTTATACAGCAATGGACATTATTTAAAGATGTTTACACTGAACAGTCCTCTATTTTTATAAGCCAAATGAATATATAGTAAGCCTTTTGTATCCACAGATTCTATATCTTTTGAATTAGCCATCCACAGCTTGAAAATGTTTTAAAAATTTAAAAAGCAAAGGGATACCACGAGGTCCTGGACCCAACCCCAGTGGACAACCAAGAATTATCATGTACCCAAAATAATAATAATAAAAAACAATGAACTGTATGAATAATACTTAGACTGTGTGATGGGGCACAATATCATGCCATCATGAAAAATTAAGCCAATGTATTAAATGCATCCACTGGTCTGTGCTCCTCAGTTCAGAGAGATCACTGATTCTCTCCTCTTACTACATCATAATACAGACAAGATCATTCCAAATGTTGAATGCACCATGACTCCTCAGTATCACCTATACTATATTTTATAGCTGCAGTGATATCCTAGAAGCAGCTAGTACCTGAAAAGGCCATCTTTGGACTAAAGATCTCCTGACTAAAATTTTAAATCACAATCCTACACAAGGTTGTTGTAGGTTTTTTGGGCTATATGGCCATGTTCTAGAGGCATTCTCTCCTGGCGTTTCGCCTGTATCTATGGCAAGCATCCGCAGAGGTAGTGAGGTCTGTTGGAACTAGGAAAATTGGGTTTATATATCTGTGGAATGACCAGGGTGGGACAGAGAACTCTTGTCTGCTGGAGCTAAGTGTGAATGTTTCAACTGATCACCTTGATTAGCATTTGATGGTCTGGAACATGAAAGGCACTGCAGACTACTTCAGCCAGAGAAGTCAGCCATAGCAGAGCACCTAATGAACCAACCTGGACACAGTAGACTATTTGAGAACACAGAAATGCTGGATCACTCTAACAAACACCATGTCAGACTACACAGAGAAGCCATTGAAATCCATAAGCATGTGGACAATTTCAACAGAAAGTAGGAAACCATGAAAATGAACAAAATCTGGCTACCAGAAAATTATAACAGCAAAACAACAGAGAGGAAACTATCAGGGACAGCTAATCACAGCTCAACAAAAGATTTCCCCAGGCACTAGCAAGCCGCACCAAAAAACTGCTAGGCCATCGAATGCTAATCAAGGTGGTCAGTTGAAACATTCACACCTAGCTGCATATATGTTTGCCATATATAGGTGCAGGCGAAACGTCAGGAGATAATGCCTCTAGAACATAGCCATATAACCCGAAAAAACCTACAACAACCCAGTGATTCTGGACATGAAAGCCTTCGACAATACACAATCCTACACAGTTTACAAAAATAAGGTCCCCATATGGAAGTATGCCGGTGGAAGGAGGGGAGAGAGAAAATGGATCCATAAGTAAAAGGCAGAAATGAATTATATCTGAAATTTGTTAATGGTCTGCATTTGGGTGCAGCAATGTACACTCTTCTCCCATCTTTTCCTCAGACGTATTCACAAGATCAGAACCATTCCAGTTTGTTTTTCAAGTATTAATATATCTGACACATGAACTGTCATTAATCTTCACAATCTAGTTTAAAGCTGGTTTATTTCAAACAAATTACAGTTAAAAGTGATAATTGTTTGGTTCATTTTAGATGAAATGTCAAGCTCCAGTTAATCAAGGACAAATTTCCTCATCAGCATACATGAAGATGGTGCATAGTCCTGAGGCTAGCTTTTACTTATTCTTTTCATGATAGATCATTGTTTAATGTCAAATCTAATCACACTACTATACTTTTTATGTTAATAAAGTTAACCTAAAAAGATGTTTTAAAAAGAAATACAGCACCTTCCAAAATAATTGTTTGAAAAAGCCAAAACATTTGGTCCTAAAAACACATAGTTGTTGTAATTGATCAATTAGTATTACATAGACATTTAGGATTTGTGTTGTAGTTTCATATTCTTTCTAACTCCATTTCTTTCTATCTTAGAATTTCCATGAATAATGCTATTTGATCGCTTATTAAGACTTACTTGTTTTTCAGAATGGCATGTCATAACTTGCAGTGGCAAAGAAATGAGGTAGTTCAAAAGAAATCTTCCAAGGTAAATTATGTAAATAATTTGTAAGCATATTTTTGCTTCCAGGAGTTGAATCACGCAGGGTAAAATTCATTTCAGCAGAATACTGAATATTAAATATGAAGCAAGGGTCATTTTCTAAAGCAAGGTTGTGTAATTTACCCAGCACTCAAGGGCTCAGTTTTGGCTGACCATTACGTCTGTACTGGGACCCTGTCATTAAGGGATTTGCTTTAATCATCTCTGTACCCAAGTCAATTAAGATCAAATGTCTACTGGACCATACACTGGTGATACCTGTCTGGGTAAAATCTGTATGCTGTTATTCTGCTACTTGCAATAGAGCAATGAACTCAACATAGTTAAGTAAAAATTATGATCAGTATGACATACAAAAAGCACCCCAAAGTCAATTTGTAACATATTACTTCACACATCCAGCATATAGGCTGATCCCTAATCACCCAAACTCATTAAGTTTCAGCACACCTGCAACATCATAACTGAGAATATTGCTGCAACAATAACTGTGGAAAATATGACATTTATGATCTGAACAGTCCTTGTGTTCTACTAACATAAACAGGTAAATTAATACTAGTCTCTAAATTAAATCTAGCATATTATAAAAATGCCTGGTAGACTGGAGGATATAATTATATTAGAAACAGGAAGATTCTTCTCTGTAAACAAAGGGATATTTAAAACGATCACCACATACAACCAATACACCTGGGCAATAAAGACACACCTCGGCCAGCAATTTTGTCAGGACTCAACAAATTTGAATTGACAGGAGCAATCTGAAATGGGGTGTAGTGGGAATAGGGGAAGTGAAGGTTAGACACAGCAGTACAGGACATTCATCTTTGCGCCAGGACAATAATTTGATATCAACTTGGGAAACAACTTGCATACAAGTTTTTGTATAAATGGGATTGTACAGGCTGAACTCTGAAGTGCATTCAATGACTTCTACTGTGTTTTTGGCTGGGGTATGGGTCACAGAATCCTTTTCAACTAATGATACAGACAGGACTTAGGGATTAAAAAATCATAGATGTGATGTGAATGCAAGCAATTTCTTTTTTAAAAAAAATTCTGAAAATCAGTTATGGTAGATGACTGTAATTTAGATCAGGGAAACTTTTCCACTCTTTTGGCTGAGAAATCATAGATTCATAGAATTGGAAGAGACCTCATGGGCCATCCAATCCAACCCCCTGCCAAGAAGCAGGAAAATTGTATTCAAAGCACCCCCAACAGATGGCCATCCAGCCTCTGTTTTAAAGCTTCCAAAGAAGGACCCTCATCACACTCAGGGGCAGAGAGTTCCACTGCTGAATGGCTCTCACAGTCAGGAGGTTCTTCCTAATGTTCAGATGGAATCTCCTTTCTTGTAGTTTGGAGCCATTGTTCAATGTCCTAGTCTCCAGAGCAGAAGAAAACAAGCTTGCTCCCTCCTCCCTATGACTTCCTCTCACATATTTATACATGGCTATCATATATCATATCTTCCTAATGTTCAGATCAAATCTCCTTTCTTATAATTAATCTCCTTTCTTGTAGTTGGCCATGTGAAGGGAAGTCATAGGGAGGAGGGAGCAAGCTTGTCCTGGAGACTAGGACGCAATGGAACAATGGCTTCTAACTACAGGAAAGGAGATTCCACCTGAACTTCCTGTGAGAGCTGTTCAGCAGTGGAACTCTCTGCCCCAGAGTGTGGTGGCTTCTTCTTTGGAGACTTTTAAACAGAGGCTGGATGGCCATCTGTTGGGGATGCTTTGAATGCAAATTTCCTGCTTCTTCTCAGGGGGTTGGACTGGATGACCCATGAGGTCTCTTCCAACTCTATGGCCATTCTGGGAGTGCCATTCCAAAAGAAAAAGGCCTTTCCCCACATCAGGACTGCCAAGGAATACCAGCTATGCTGTGCAGGGGATTTTGGGAATAGCATTCCACAGTGAAGAACCTTTCCCCTAAGGCCAGAAAGAAAGGTATCAGTTATGTTGCCTGGGGATTTGGGGAGTGGCAGTGCCAAGAGAAGGACCTTTTCCCCAAGCACAGAAGGGATCCTGAGGGCTGTACTCCAGAGAAAGGAACTGATTAAACCACTTTGCCTAAAGGCCCTTCCACACAGCCATATAACTCAGAATAGCAAGGTTGACAATCCCACAATATCTGCTCTGAACTGGGTTATCCGAGTCCACACTGCCCTATATTGCAGTTCAAAGCAGAAAATGTGGGGTTTTATTCAGCTGTGTGGAAGAGGCGGGGAGACTGAGAGGAAAGCGACCCTGCAGCCGACGCCATGTTGGAGAAAGAGCCTCACAGAAAGGCAGAGAATCCCCCTCCCTCCCTCTTTCTCTCTTTCTCTCTCTCGCACTTACGTTCGGCGGCGCACGGATTGTGGCAGCGCGGAGCCAAAACATCACGTGACTGCTCCGACCGCCCAATCACGGGCCAGCTGGCAATTGTGACGTCTTTCTCAGGCTGTGTCAGTGGGCGAGGCGTAGCCGGAAGTGTCAGTCTCGCTTTGTCCCCGCCTCCTTTGTCCAATCAGGGAAAGCAAGCAGCTCAAGGTGGAAACCTTCACAGTCACTGTCCTTGCTCTGTACTAGGCCTTGGCAAACTTTGGCCTTCCAGGTGTTTTGGACTGCAACTCCCACAATTCCTAACAGCCTATGCCTGATAGAAAACATTGCATTGAAAGATGTACAACTAGTGAATGGTGGCTGCAAACCCTTTTAATCTATTTTGTTACTTTTTAAAACAGGCCTGGGCAAACTTCAGCCCTCCAGGTGTTTTGGACTGCAACTCCCACAATTCCTAACAGCCTATGCTTGATCAAAATAATTGCATTGGGAGATGCACAGCTAATGATTGGTGGCTGCAGACTCTTTTCATCTATTTTGTTACTTTTAAAAACAGGCCTGGGCAAACTTCGGCCCTCTAGGTGTTTTGGACTGCAACTCCCACAATCCCTAACAGTCTATGCCTGATAGAAATCATCACATTGGGGGATGCACAGCGAATTATTGGTGGCTGCAAGCCCTTTAAATCTATATTGTTTCTTTTTAGAACAGCCCTGAGCAGACTTCGGCCCTCCAGGTGTTTTGGACTGCAACTCCCACAATTCCTAACAGCCTATGCCTGATAGAAATCGTTGCATTGTGAGATGCACAACGAGATTGGTGGCTGCAAACCCTTATAATCTATTTTGTTACTGTTTAGAACAGGCCTGGGCAAACTTTGACCCTCCAGGTGTTTTGGACTGCAACTTCCACAATTGCTAACAGCCTATGCTTGATAGATATGATATAATTTTTTTGCATTGGGAGATGCACAACGAGTGATTGGTGGCTGCAAACATTTTTCATGTTTTAAAACAGACCTGGGCAAAATTTGGCCCACCGGGTGTTTTGGCCAACAACTCCCACTGTTCCTAACAGCTTATGCCTGATAAAAATCTTTGCATTGGGAGATGCACAAAAAGGTATTAGTGGCTGCAAACCCCTTTCATCTATAAAACAGGCCTGGGCAGACTTTGGCTCTCCGGGTGTTTTGGACTGCAACTCCCACAATTCCTAACAGCCTAGGAATTGTGGGAGTTGTAGTCCAAAACAACTTGAGGGCCAAAGTTTGCCCAGGCCTGTTTTTAAAAACAACTATATATCTAGATGGGTTTGAGAACTTGACCTCAAGAAATAGGTAAGGTCCCCTGAAGGTGGAGATAAGAGGGCATGTGTTTGATATTCTGTGTGAAAGATTTCCCATGCTAAATTGGCAGAGTAGAGCCATCACACTGGCAATGAAGATTGGCACAGTTTAAAGCAATGGCATTCCCTGTAGTAACCTATGGATGTGAGAGCTGGACCATAAGGAAGGGTGAGCGAAGGAAGATAGATGCTTTTGAACTGTGGTGTTGGAGGAAAGTTCTGAGGGCTCTTCCACACAAAGCCAAAAAATCCCACAATGCCTGCTTTGAACTGGGTTATCTGAGTTCACACTCAGATAATGTGGGATTTTTTTTGCTTTGATATTCTGGCATATAAGGCTGTGTGGAAGGCCCCTGAGAGTGCCTAGACCAGAAGAAGATCACTGGAGTGAAGCTTGGAGAAGATGATGCTGGGGAAACTGCACGGAAAAAAGAAGAGGGGCCGACCAAAGACAAGATGGATGGATGGTATCCTTGAAGTGATTGGCTTGACCTTGAAAGAGCTGGGGGTGGCAATGGCCAACAGGGAGCTCTGACGTGGGCTGGTCCTAGAGGTCACTAAGAGTCAGAAGTGACTGAACGAATAAACAACAGCAACCCGCCCTCTTCCACCGAAGGGACTCAGGGCAGCTTCCAAAGGTGAGAATGGTAAACATTCAATGCCATTGGAATGACAAATAGACATAGTCTTGTCTTCATACCTGCAGTTTCCCCTTAAATTGTCAAATCTGGCTCTCTCTAGTTGATCTATATTGTTTTGGTTGCTGTTATTACTATGTATATTGTATTTTTGTTTTAAGCCGCCCCGAGTCCCTTTTGGAAGAGGGGGCGGAAAACAAATAAAGATTATTATTATTATTACTACTACTACTATACTCCAGGTTGCACTTTCTGCTACAACATTTATTTATTTTATTACTGGTATCCTTCTGTACAGGGTATTGTTTCAGGCCCCTTCCACACAGCTGAATAACACCATATGGCAGTGTGGACTCAGATAACCTAGTTCAAAGCAGATATAGTGGATTGCCTGCCCTGATATTCTGGATTATATGGCTGTATGGAAGGGCCCTCAGAAGAACAAGTCACTTCATTCTGTTATTGAAAAGCGGTGTGGTTTATCTGGCGATTGTGTTTTGCAGCTTTCTCCACTAAAAAGAAGTGCTAGTAAGGTCCTGCCAGACCACCTGGCAAGAGATGGTTCTTGCCTTCCTGTTTCTAATTAAAATCTTGGCCATAATGGTTCATAGGAAATGTGGCTAAATAGAGGTCGGTAGTTTTGTAGTGGTTTCTTGCCTCTTTTAGAGAGGTGCAATGGAACAACTCTGATCTTTTGGTCAACTAAGCAATAACACTCATTTTAAAGGGGTAGCTCTTTAGATGCACTTTTCCAGGTTTAACTTATTTGTTTCCAAGTGCATTTTTCCTAATGTCACTGTGTAATCTACTTCTCACTGTATGCTGCTTATAGTATAGGCATGTAGGCTGTTAGGAATTGTGGGAGTTGAAGTCCAAAACACCCGGAGGGCTGAAGTTTGCCCACGACTGTTAAAGTACAATTGCATATCCTTATTTTATTATTGGATTATTTATTGCATGTTGCGGAAAACTAAATATTTTTTTAAAAAAATTGACAGTGTTTTGCACAGTGCCTTAAAAGAAAAAAATATATACAGAAGTGCAAAATTATGTGTGATGAAAACCCCATGTGAGATCCCAATCTTTAAGGGGGGAAAAAGGTGAGATTCCCAACTAAAATGGGAAAAAGTTCCATCTTAATGAACACTGCATTGTAATGTTTATAGTGGGCTTCACTTCACAGTGCCTAAGGTCCCTTCCACACAGCTGTATAAAATCCACATTGAACTGGATTATATGGCAGTGCGGACTCAGATTACCCAGTCCAAAGAAGATATTGTGGATTATCTATCTTTATATTCTGGGTTATATGGCTGTGTGGAAGGGCCCTAAGATTCTGTAGTTGATGTATGATTAGAGTCCCCTCTGGGGTGAGAAAGGTGGGGTAGAAATGTTATAAATAATAACTAATATTATGTACATGACTGTAATAGTGTGTCTCTCTACAAGGTGACACAAAGAAACTAAAGCTGGAATCCTGTTATTGATCCTTTGGATATACTGGACCTATGGACCACCATGTATGTATACATGTGGCTGATGTTCTCACAATTTCTCTAAACAATTAATTTGGGACGAGAATAAAGCAGTAAAAAAAGACAGCTTAGGTTTCTTGAAGATATTACACATAGATGCTGGTACACATTTTCTTTTAGTACTATTAACTGCCAAGTAGTCCTCGAACTATTTCCTACTTGCCTCTTTCCATCCGCAATCCTTTCCACACAGCTGAATAAAATCCCACATTTTCTGCTTTGAACTGGGATATAGACTCAGGTAACCCAGGGCCCATCCACACAGCCATGTATCCCAGAATATCAAGGCAGAATATCCCACAATATCTGCTGTGAACTAGGTTATCTGAGCCCACACTGCCATATATTCCAGTTCAAAGAAGAAAATGGGGATTTTATTTAGCTGTGTAGAAGGGGCACCAGTTCAAAGCAGATATTATGGGATTTTCTGTCTTGATATTCTGGGTTATATGGCTGTGTGGAAGGGCCCAGAGAGTCCACAACCATCTCCCTTCTCAGCCATCCACCAAAATAAAAAAACAACTCCCAAATGAGTGTTTAACCTCTGAACTTTTCAAAGAGCTGTGATCTGTATTGAACAAATCACCTGCAATCACAAAGACAAATATTTAAAATATTAGTAACATTTCTGTTTCAACTGTTTATATAAATAGTAGCATTATCTGTCAAAATGCTTTGAATCAACGTGAGTTCTCTACCTGAGAACTGGATTGAAACCATGCAATCCAAAGCCAGATTTTCATACAAAGAAATATGTATTGTGTAACACAGATTGGATATTTGTAGAAAAGGTTAGCAGTTTACCGAAGCATATAATGGAATTGTATGAAAAAAATATTTTGCCTTTCCAAAAACATCATACAGTTCGGAATACAAGAGACTTCATTCCTAGAAACAGGGTGGAGATCAAATGAATAGAGGTGAATTTGCCAAAGCAACCAACTTCGGCATATTTTTCTTTTTGAAAAAGAAGCATTTGCCAGAAAAGCACTGTAACTTCAGTAGATATTGTATTTTCAAGGAAAAACATTATCTTCTACAAGTCTGATTCGATGAATGTTTAATTCATTTAAACCTTTGCAATCTGTTGAATAAATTAATGGAAGTCACATAAATTCCAAAAATAAGAAAAAGTGATGAAAATACACAGAAGTTACATGGAGTATTTCTTTTCTGGTTGTAAGTTTAGCAACTTTTTTGTGTAATTGCATCATGCGTCTTTCTGCCATTCAGGAATAAATGGGATTTTTTTTCTCTGCCACAATCCAATTATTCCTGACTTTACATTTCTAACTGAAGCCCACATCGTATCCTTCGTCTTTGATTTTTATTTTGTACTCCAGGGAAAATAAAATCTCTTGTGGTTAAAGCATGATTCAGAAATCTGGGTTCTCCTTTTAGAACCACCATCACAAACTTTTTATATGCTTTTGGCCAAATTATTTTATTTCTCTTCTCTTATTTTATTATAAGATGTGAATAGCATTTCTATAGCATAAAAGAGCATGGGGAACAATAAATTTATGTGCTCTTAAGTTACTACGACAGTAGTCCATGTAAAATTACAGGGAACTTTTTTTTTGCACTGAATAGAAGCAACTCTTCTCTTACTGTTCCACTGCTT